GGCGCTAAATACAGGGAAATTCTTGAGGGAAACCTGTTTCAGTCTTCCAGAGATTTGAGACTGGGACAGAGGTTCACCTTCCAGCAGGACAATGACCCTAAGCATACTACTAAAGCAACACTCGAGTGGTTTAAGGGGAAACATTTAAATGTCTTGGAATGGCCTAGTCAAAGCCCAGACCTCAATCCAATTGAGAATCTGTGGTATGACTTAAAGATTGCTGTACACCAGCGGAACCCATCAAACTTGAAGGAGCTGGAGCAGTTTTGCCTTGAAGAATGGGCAAAAATCCCAGTAGCTAGATGTGCCAAGCTTATAGAGACATATCCCAAGAGACTTGCAGCTGTAATTGCTGCAAAAGGTGGCTCTACAAAGTATTGACTTTGGGGGGGTGAATAGTTATGCACGCTCAAGTTCTGTTTGAATAGGTCTCTGAACATTTTATTTTGAAACGTGTGCTTCTCTCTAGAATCTACTCGTTTGACTACAGTGGAAATAGCATAGCACTTAATTCTATTCAAACTCTGTGTCTTGTGAGAAACGTTCCTTTGATTTTGGGTGATGTTGTTCCACCAGGAAATGAAAACTGGAATTTGCTGCTCCTCTTACTGCAAATAATCAACATTGTTTTTCCCCCTTTTCTTAGCCAGGGCATGACTTTGTATCTGAATCATTTGATAATTGAACACCACACACTTTTCAAACAGTTGTACCCACATAAAAACTTGATACCCAAACATCACTTTATGATACATTACCCAGCATGCATAAGACAAATCGGTCCATTATTACATATGTGGAGCATGAGGTTTGAGGCAAAGCACAAACTCTTTAATAACACCCTCAAAAACTTCAAGAACATTACTAAGTCCCTTGCCAAAAAACACCAATTTGCTATAGGCCATCACTGGGAGATCACCATTGCGACATACTGAGTATGGAATGATGAAAGCATTTTCCCTGAGTGATTTTAATGGTGGTGAGGAGTTGGCAGTGTCACTTCAGGTCTCTATGCAGAAAGCCATTTACTCTACCAGCTGGGTTAAGATGGATGGCACAGAGTACAGAGAGGGACTGTTAGTTTGCAGTAAGATGGAGCATGAAATGCCAGTCTTTTGTAAAATAACTAAGATCATTGTGGTTGACAATATTGTATACCTATTGCTGGACAAGTTGCATACTGATAATTTCAGTGAACATTACCATGCATTCACTGTGTTTGATGGAGTTTATGACAAAGTTGTTGTCAAAGTTGATCTGACATTTTGAGTGGCCCTATATAAACACAGGATGTGTGTTGAAAAAACACTCCAATGGGTCATTTGAACAACACCTGAAGTGTTATATCTTAACACTCAGAGAGTGTTTCAATATGAACACTACCAAAAGTGTTAAATTAACACTGAGTGGCCCTATATAAACACTGGACGAGTATTAAAATTAACACGCCTGGTGTTAAATTAACACTTTCAAATTTGCTGTGTACCCTGCACCTTAGATATGGCTGCCCTGTGTACAGTACATAGAGTCATTGGACACTGGTCACTTTACTAATGTTTACATACTGTTTTACCCACTTTATATGTATATGCTGTATTCTAGTCATGACATCCTATATCACTACTGCTATACATAACTTTTCTATTCACATACTGTCTATACTGTCTATACACACCATTCACACAGGTCCGGAAGATAATTTCCTGCAATTCTATCAATTTTGCCAAGGGGTTTTGTACTGTGTATTTAAATAATGTATTCTCGACATAGCTCGTTCTAATGTTGCTACTATTGTACATTGTATTTTAGTTACACTGTTTATACACACCACATATTTATTTATATACTGGATTCTTGACATAGCTCACTCTAATATATCTACTGCTGTACATATAATTCCTAGTATATATTATTTATTATTATTTGTAGAAACGTATAGATTGCATTTGGATTACTGTTACAGTGCTATTTGGTTTGTTAATTGGATTCGTTCCGACATTTTTTTTCTTTAAAAAAAATATTATTTGTGTACTTGTTTGCATTTTACTGCATTGTTAGGCGCAAGTAACAAACATTTCGCTGCACCTGCTATAACATTTGCTAAACTGTGTATGCGACCAATAAACTTTAATTTGATTTGATTTGACATCTGTATTCAAATGCTCCTTGGATGCTGAAATAGGAGTAAGGTTTGGGACTGGGAACATGAAACAGAGCTTTGGTAGAAAGTGGATGTGAATGGGAGCAATAATGAAGATGTTTTCTGAGCCTGTGTGCTATACCCTACATGAAGACACTAGCATAATCCCCACTGCATTTCTGAATTCCTGGATATTGTTTGGAATGTAAATATTTTATGACAATCTCTATTTGAAAATGTTTATGTTGTTGAATGTCTACAGTTTACTATGAAGGGGGGTGTTGACTATTCAAACACACACACACAGAGCGTGCCAAAACAAAAGCCTTTGATGGTGGTAATCAGACAAAGCATGCCATGTCTTCAGAAATCCACAAAGCCAGTTGAAAGCTTTCCCAACCATCAAAGCCTCCTTTAACTCTCTCTCTCTCATCAGATTTGAGGATGACTCACTCCAGCGTCATCATGCCTAACACACTGTGTCATTAGTCTACTAAAACAATTAAATGGCTATACTTTGAAAGAATGTCCCTTCTTAGCAGATCTGAACTAATGTTCCTCCATTCTGTGAATTAATATTACTGTTAAGACACTCTCCAATTTTCCATCTAACAGAGAACACTTCATCCACAGCTCTCTGCATGTATCACACTATTTCAAATTCACAAACTTTAGACTGCTGAAGGTCAGGGAGTTATACTGGGTGTATTATTGCTTTAGTGTGTGTGTATGTGTTTGGTGCTTAGGTATGCAGAGTGTTTCTCTGGTCCCCAGTGTGTTTGTGTGTGTGTGTCAGGGACGTCTGTGCCCCCGGGCTCTTCTCCTGCTGTGACGAGGCAGAGGGCGGTCAAACACACACCGCCCCCAACACCGTGCACCCAAATACAGATTTGTGAGGAAAAGGAAACGCTGCTTTGCCGAATGGGCTTTAATGTTATTTCTGCTTCCTGAATTACAGAGCCCTCCCCCTCCCTCTCTCTGCCTCAGGGCTCGACTCCAGACTACTGTTATCCCTCTCTCCCTGTCTCTCGCTCATACTATCCCTCTCACTCACTTCTATCTATTCAATTCCCCTCTTCTGGCTCCCATTTCACTCTACCTCTCTCTATCTCAACTCCAGCATCACTCACTCGCACTATCCCTCTCCTTGAATTGATCTCCAATCCCCCTTAGCCTCTCTTCTAACCTCTCATGCCTTTTATTCCAATTGTTTCTATCGCTCTCTATTCTCTCTCTCTATCTTCCCATGCACTTCCTAGATTACATCGCAAGACGTTTTTCCGCCAACTTTACTATACTGCCAACTTGTTTTCCAACTTTTCTTTATATCTGAAAGGCATTGCCGGTATCAAAGCCAAAACTTTAACATACAATATGTTATGAATTTGCTTATACGTATGAATTCAATTTTTTTCTGGCTAACGTTAGTTAGGCTAGGGGTAAGGTTTAGGGGTTAGGAGTTAGGAGTTAGGTTCAAGGTTTAAGGTTAGGGGAAGGGTTAGCTAAAAAGGTTAAGGTTAGGGAAGGGTTAGCTAAAAAGGTTAAGGTTAGGGGAAGGGTTAGCTAAAAAGCTAAGTAGTTGCAAAGTATCTAAAAAGTAGTAAGTAGTTGCAAAGTTGCTAATTAGCTAAAATACTAAAGTTGTCCGTGATGAGATTCGAACAAGCAACCTTTGGGTGGCTAGACGTTCGCATTATACGCCCACCCATCCACCTGCCTTTCGTTTTTACCTTAAGTAACCTTCTGTCTTATGTAACCATACCAAACGTATCATTTCATACTAATTTGAGTGTCCCGAATTCTCATTTACTATGTTACGTCTAGTCTATGAGACCAGCCTGATGTGCTGTAGAGAGACAAGAGAAAAATAGTTTTGATCAGTCATGGAAATAAAAGTGCTGAAAACATGTTGGCTCACATAGATTTTTTACAAATCAATACATGGAGTCAAAGTATCAATATAATATCATCCAAAATAATATTGAGATTTGTAACTGTATCGATTTTTTCCCTCATCACTATTTTATATTGCTACATTGCATTGTTTGCCACTTTGTCACTTCCCCTTCCAAAAAATTAAAAACCCGTTACCCAATAAATACATAGATAAACAACATAGCGGCCATCCTCTGTGGCTGTCTAACAGTGCCAAATGGACTAAATCAGATTGCAGGAATAAAACAAGGGAAGGATAAAACGCTGAGAGCAGGCTAGATGTAATTATCAGACACCTCAGAGGCAGGTAACCCAAACAGCATTCTAACTACAGGAGATGGGGAGTGTAGAGAGGAAGAGGGAGTGTGGGATGAGTCCAGGTGGCTTAACGCTGATATTGTGTGCCTTATCTGTTGTCTGCAGCACCTCTGCTCTTATTCTAGAGAGGCAAAGTCAGGGGGGGGGGGGGGGGGCAACGACATAGATTGTGTGTGTGTATGCCTGTGGGTGTGTGTGTGTTATGCAGTTTAATTTCCCCCTCCTCTTCCTCAGCACAGAGGGATAATAAACCCTGAGCTTCTCCTCTCTGCTGTGCTGTATTCTGTCTTGATAGCAGACCTCCACACGGTTCCCACCCGATGGATCCGGATTCTGGCCTATATCAGGATGGCCACGGAGGTCTGGCAGATGTGTATGGAGGCACATGTGCATGTCAACTTCCTCTGTAGGAACAACAAGCTATCTTCTTGTTTCTGACTTAAAGTTTACAAAGTTGGCTTGGATTGCAAGTGGTAGCAAAGTATTGAATCCTAGTGAGCACTGTTGGATGCTAGTATAATGGTGCCTTGTGACTGTGAAACCATTAGCATGTAGCCATGTTAGTGTATAGCTAGTGTGTAGCTAGCATGTAGCTAGCGGGTAGTTACTATGTAGTGTGTAGCTCCTTACCTGCGGTGGTGAGACAGTGTTCCTCGTCACTGTTGTCCTGACAGTTGTCCTGTCCGTTACACAGGAAACTGCGGTCCACACAGTGCCCGTTACGACACTTGAAGCGGGCCTCCAGACACACCAGCGGGTTACCTGCTGTGAGAGGACCACAACACAGCTCAGGAGTTGGATGTCAGGGGTTAGAGGTCAGGGGTTAGGTATGTGATAAACAAACTGTAGGCATTCTTTTGTTTCGTTTTTATAACCACCAGCTCCTTAAACTGAAGTGGAAGAAACCAAAAAAAACGATAGAAACCTCAAACATCAATCTAAAACCTTTAACACGGTCCAATTTAACAATTTATCAGAGAAATATCAAGAGGGAAGTAATGAAAAAAATGTATGCATCACACCGCATCGAGAGATACAGTAAAACCATTAAATCTGGGTTTTTGATTAGATACAAAAATCCAACTAGCATGAGAGACCTCAGAACACTTCTGATTCCTCTTTGCACGCTTGTGCTGCTTGGCCTTTGTTCCAAGCCTGGGCAGAATGAGGCGGAATTATCTTGTAAGAAGATCCAGACAATTAGGCAGTAGAGACGTAGCGGTCGGTTCTCAGAGCGCGGCGTTCACAGCACAGAGCACACGGAGGGAGCGCAGTTCCATTTAAATGGCTAGATTAGATGTGCGTCAGCGTGGGGGCCTGCAGGCTAGGCACAGTGTCTCTGACGATGGAGAGTGATTGGCTCGTTAGAAGCTGCTCTGCTGAGATGGAGAGAAACAGGAACAGAGGGAGGGAGCCACGTGAGCCCACTCCCAAATCCACCACTACTCTATACTACAGCTAAAGCTGCCTCCCAAATTATCCCCTATCCCTGTAGAGTGCTAAGGTGTCTGCTAACAAGAGGACAAGTTGCACTGATCATACAGTAGGTCCAGAAGACCAACCAGAGTTTAAATACAGTATGTGGCTAAATAGAGAGTGGTTTCCATGACATACTGTACATTAAGGTCATGATGGGGTGTGGTTGCCAGGGTTATTATGGGATGGGAGGTGGTTGCTGTGGGATACTCACTGCAATCCTTCTCGTCGCTCCCGTCAGGACAGTCACTGAAGCCATTGCAACGGAACCGCCCGATGATACAGTGGATCCCGTTGGCACAGGCGAAGAACGTCGGAGCACACTTGGACTTTATCTTGGCTGTGGGGAGGAGAGGAGAGGGGTAGAGCGCGACGTAGAGGAGGGGGAGAAGGGTCTGTTATTAGGATGATGGCAGAAATGTATATGGATGAATGATGCTGCAGTTTTAAGTGTCTCATAATAGAGTTGAGCTGTGGGAATAAGAGAGAGAAAGAGATAGAGAAAGAAGAAAGAATGAGAAGAAGGGAAGGACAGAGGGAGAGAGATGGAGAGGAGAGGGAGAGAAAGGGAGGGAAGGAAGAAGAGAGAGAGATGAAGAACAGGACAGGGAGAGGGGGGAGAAGGAGTGAGAGGCAGGAGGAGCATGGTAGGGATAGAGGGATGTGTTATGTGGGCCCTACCAGACAACCAGTGTATATTATAGGATGCTGCTAGCGTTTCATTCATGGCCTTAAGGGATCCTTCTTATTGTTATTCTGGCAATGGTGCAGTTCTAATAAAATGTTACAAATGTAGTTCTGTTATACTAAAGGTCAGTGAATTTATCAGTTCTACTTGTCCTGCAGTACTTCTTTGCACTTTATCTATAGACCTATCCCCTCAGCTTAAGAGCTACTGGTTGGAAACAGAATAGAAAACAGTTAGGAAGGAGAGCAGACAGAAAGCAGACTGAGACAAAGAGAGAACAAATAGTGGAGGGGAGCGTTAGTAAAGATCCACCATCGATCAGTCTAACAGAGGGTAGACGGAGGGAGGGCCAGAGCACAGATCTCAGTGGATAGCCAGGAGATTGACGAGCCTCCACCCCTATCACCCAGCCCTGTTTAACCCCAGCAGCACCTAACTTCATCTGCCTGCTTTAGAGACATTGATCTCCCCTCTCTGGAGGAGGAAAACACTGTGGAGAAAGTAGCTACATCAGGCAGAAGACAGACAGGGAGACGTGTGGAGAGAAGTCAAACCAGAAAGACCTAGGTTACTGATACTGATTTTCAGTCCAGAGCAGATAATTAGTTTCCAGGGCCTGGATAGGCATTTTGAGAAGTGCATTGGATTTGCAGAGACCCATGGAGTCCGTCCCATAGTGTGACCCAAACCTGCTACGGCAAGATGAGTGGGACACGCTTGCAGTGCAAATCAAAGCACCTCTGAGAGCATTATCTAGATTAGAAATAGACTATCAGGGGGGGAGGGAGACAGAGAGAAAGACAGAGAGAGAGACAGTCAGAGCGAGAGAGAGACAGAGAGAGAGAGACAGAGAGAGAGAGACAGAGAGACAGAGAGAGAGAGAGACAGAGAGACAGAGAGAGAGAGAGAGAGAGACAGAGAGAGAGAGAGAGAGCGAGAGAGAGAGAGAGCGCGAGAGAGAGAGAGAGACAGAGAGAGCGAGAGAGAGACAGAGAGAGAGAGAGAGAGAGAGAGAGAGAGAGAGAGAGAGAGAGAGAGAGAGAGAGAGAGAGAGAGACAGATGATGCTCGTTCGACCAAAGCTGGGTTAAAGCTAGATATGAGGAGTGAAAAGGGAACTTTAAACCTCACAAGTGTGTTGTATTGTGTTGAGTAATAAGGCCACCCGGCGGTAGGGTGGCAGTTGATGTGCAACTAACAACGCAGAATAGTCCGCTCGTCGGGTTTCTATTTAGTAAGAGAGAGAGAGAGAGAGAGCTGAAAACATGAAACATTTTTCTAAACACTTATCCTTCAGAACTTATACTTCTTAATCTGTGCTTTACCATTTATCCCACATTTAAAGTTTAATTCCCTCTGGAAAATGTATGCAACACAAAAGATTAGTAACTCAGACGCTATAGGAAGAGATCTAACTTTCTGTCTAAGTAATTCAACTCATACGAGAGCAAGTAGGTAGCATAGTCAACTAAGCAGTCAGTTTAGCAACCACCAGTAACCAGTTAGCCACCCATATGTGGGCTCAGACACTGCATACATAACAGGCGGCTCTAGTAAAACCCAGCATTACAAAGCAAGGCCTCAACCCTCTGAAACACTGACACAGGAAAGGGGTGTAGTGAGTGGGTACACAGCATATCTCTGAGCCAGCCAACACCCAAACATCTCCCATGTGTTTTCTCCACTTTGAATAACAAGGATAATTATTATTGTCCATGGCTTGGCACCGCACCATGTAAAATGCCAGGGGCACATATTTCTCCCCCAACAATCCATTGTGGTAGGCTGATTTATGAGCTCTTTCAAGCTGCAGCGATTATGTGTGGAAGAAGGAGGGGTACGCAGAGCACCCGCATACTCTCTCCTCTCCTTGCTGAAATGCAATTCCTCAAAACTGGAGCATCTAGTCTGCGTGTGTGTGTGTGTGCATGTGTTTGTGTGCATGTTTGTGTGTGTACCGCCATTGTTTACAGCCACAGTGGAGGCCCTGAGTGCTTAAAGCCCATTCTGCATGGATGGTATATCACATTCATTAAACTCTGGGGAGAAAAAATACATTTTCATTCACTCGCCCTCACTTTTCTGTAGAAAACAATCTAAACATGTTGCCGTCTGTTTCTCACGTATCATGTCTTCCTTACATTTATTTTGGCCTCCTAAGAAAGTGAGAATTCAAGATGAGAATGGTTTGTGGGTACGAGGTGGCTACATGGATCTCAAGTCTCAATCCACTACTCCTTGTCTGCTCCTTTCCTTCATCATCTACTCATACGAAGGACAGGAGACGAGGAAAGGAAGCCATTTAAGACTGCTGAGATGCACCCCTGGTCCGGGAGATGCGCCCTGTCATTGCTACCTTTCCTCCTTCTCCCACAGCCACTGTCCGATCCAAGCTTACATTGTCAGAATTAGTTGAAAAAGTCGCATTAATGGTAATTTCAAGGCGGTCGCACAGAAACTGGATTGGGGGGGGGGGGTGAGTGGAAGGGTGTGGAGGGGGGAAGTTAATGTGCTTATAGCTGCATTCACATCTGTTTGGGGTCACCTCGTCCTTCACAGGCAGAGCAGAGCTCAGCTCTCAGGACATAAAAAGCAATCAAAGTTAATTAGAGAAGCTACATAGTTTTGGGTAAAAGAGGGGGAGCGGAGAGGGGAGAGACTTCACAAAATAAAAACTCAGACCCTGTTATTAAATGTCCCTTGTTTATTCCTCCGTGAAGGTGTTCTCTTTGTTTTGTTGCCTGGAATCACTTACTCTCCACCTCTCTAAATGTAAGTACTTCCTTGTTTCCTTTCCAGAGCATTGTCCTTCAACCTCTCCCACTCGCTCCCTCTCGCCACTCTCCCACCATGCGCTCCCTCTTAGTTGAACTTCTCTAATTCTGGGCCAAGTTTTTCCCCTTCCAGTTTAATTTTTTTGTGTTGATTGGCTTTCAAAGTCAGTGGGGGTGTTCAGTTTAGCAGCACAAATTAAAACAAATGCGCCTGCAGTCAGGTAAGGCTAATACCAGCAGGAAAATAAAATTGAAGCTTATTTACAGCATTTCTACACAATTTAAAAACTATCAAATGCAAAAAGCAAAAAACAAGCTAAATTGACTCCAGACATTATTACCTTGTTGCTGTAGCTTCATTTAAAGTGAATTCGGAAAGTATTCAGACCCCTAGACTTTTTCCACATTACATAAGTATTCAGACCCTTTGCTATGAGACTCGAAATTGAGCTCAGGTGCATCCTGTTTCCATTGATCATCCTTGAGATGTTAATACAACTTGATTGGAGTCCACCTGTGGTAATAACACTGCTATGCACTAGCTAAGCACCGGGATTAAAACTCTAGTTTAGTTTCATGTCAAGTCAAACAGCAGTTACAGTACCTAGCCCAAGCCATCTACTACAGCCATCTTTACCTGCCAATTGACGCCCCTGGCGCAAAGGCACACACACACACACGCACCCACACACAGACTTCATGGGTGAGTGCTTTTCCTTTCAAATCCTTCCTAAACCTTATACTAGAGAACATTCTTAATTGCCATAAAACTTCCAAGCATCTAAGCAGCGAAGCGCCTGATAGTTTTAGCTTTAATTAAATACTTTTCCTAACAGCATCCCTCCTCCCTTCTCCTCTCCTTCCCCAGCCAATACTTTACCTCCTTATTTTCCTTCCCCCTCCGCATATCCCCCCTCACCCCCTCCTTCCTTCCTTCTCTCCCTCGCTCCATAAGAAAATAAGTCTCTGAGCACAGGTAGACCAGGTCGTGACGAGCATGCATGAACAAGAGTGAGGAGTGACAGGGAGTGGAGGGGAATAAAATAAAATAGAGAGATAGAGAGCGAGAGAGAGAACAAAGAGAGAGAGATAGTGAGTGAGTGAGTGAGTGAGTGAGTGAGTGAGTGAGTGAGTGAGTGAGTGAGTGAGTGAGTGAGTGAGTGAGTGAGTGAGGGAGGAAAAGGCTGAGGAGTTGAAAGGATACTCTCTGACCTTGCCTTTGCGTTTGTGTTTGTGAGGGAAGAAAAATCGATGGGTAATGGAGTCTGGGTGAAAGCAAGGTGGGCAGGCAGAGACAGAGGCAGTCTGCTAGGAGGTTGGGAAATCAAACTAATCAATCTGGCCCCTTCAGAGTCCTGGCCCAGTCTGACGCTGTACAATACAATAAACATCTGAGGGAGAACAATGTACAGTAGGTTGGCCCTAAAGAGCAGCCTTCAGACTTGCTCTCTCTTGGCCCAGGAACGTTAATGGAACTTTTCAATCACGCCCAGGCCAGCAACGTTCAGGTGATATTACATGTGTAGAAGGGAGCAGTGACTCCCGGACACTGTATGCCTTTGCAATGATTGAAAATGACAACGTTTCGATCAGTCTACGTCATAAACTGTCAAGGCACTATATGCAACCTTCTGTCAAGAAAAGTGTGTGCAATATCAAATATGAAAACATCATGTCGAATGCATCTTCCTTTAGAAAGCTGTCTTTGTTAACGGATGGGAAGCCAGATGGGGATAGATACAGGCTACATGGTGTTGTTGAGAATGAGTGTTGTACAGTGCAGCGATAGATCTCGCCGGTAACGACTTGGTTGCAATTTTCATCTCCTAATAGCATTGTTTCAAGTCAGTGCGTCCAACAATGTGTGCTCGACAACGGCACGGCATCATTTCTTATTCTTTTGTAGATTTCAGGGAAGCCGTTTTGCTGGAGTGGGACTGTCTGAGGGGCAGAGAGGGGGTTTAATCTGAAGTTGAAAGAGAGAGAGAAACAGAGAGAGGGAAGGAGAGAGAGAGAGAAAGTGAGAATAGAGAGCGGAAGAAAGAAAGATGGCAAGGCCTTAATCAATATTTCATCCTGGTCTGTGGTATTAATTATAGAAGCCCATTGATCAGTCATCCATTAAGTGTCTGGGCTGCACCTGACACCGACCCATTATACTTCCCAAAACTCTGCACTCCTCCTCTCCTCTCCCCGCCTCTCCTCTTATGTTCTCCTCTCCGTTCCTCCTCTTAGTTCTTATTATTCTCTCCTGATGTATTTGTGATGATCAATATCTATAATAATAGAAATGTGTTCCTTTAATGTTGAAATAGAGTCTCCTCTCCTCTGTGCTGTACAAGGAGTGTGTCTGAGACAGAGCTGTAACAACAGAAATAAAGCCACACACTCCCTCTGTAAGCCCCACAATCCTCTCTGGCCTCTCCTCTATGACACAGACTGCTCATAAGCGCCACACTCCTACTGGCCCAGGAAAGACATGGAGGGGCCAAGGGAGAGATGCAGCGAAAAAGAGAGAGAGAAACAAGCCCGTTGCACACACACACACACACACACACACACACACACACACACACACACACACACACACACACACACAGAGAGAGAGGCATTGTGGTGGAGCTGAAAGGATCATGGCCAAACACAGCCAGTAGGAGATGGATTCCTGCACAGAGAGGGCAAAGCCTTCCCCTCTGGGATTTACTGATGGCCACTCATTTTTTACACCCCCTACTTTTTCTGCCTCTATATATTCTCATCTCTCCCTCTTTCTCGCTCTCCCTCCCTGTGTCCTTTGTATATCTCTACCTCCTCTCTTTCTTCTTCTCTCACCATCCTCCTTCTCTCCCACCTCTCCTCCCCTCCTTGCCCCCTTCATTAAGGCTGGGGGTTAATCTCAACTATGAGAGCCAGGTCCAGTCAGCCCCTTTTCTCTTTTCCTCTCTTCTCTGGCTGCACATACATTTACAACACATATACACTACCGTTCAAAAGTTTGGGGTCACCTACAACTGTCCTTGTTTTCAATATTATAATTTTTTTTGGTCCATTAAAATAACATCAAATTGATCAGAAATACATTGTAGACATTGTTAATGTTGTAAATGGCTATTGTAGCTGGAAACGGCTGATTCTTTATGGAATATCTACAGAGGCCCATTATCAGCAACCATCAGTCCTGTGTTCCAATGGAACGTTGTGTTTGCTAATCCAAGTGTATCATTTTAAAAGGCTAATTGATCATTAGAAAACCATTTTGCAATTATGTTAGCACAGCTGAAAACTGTTGTGCTGATTAAAGAAGCAATAAAACTGGCCTTCTTGAGACTAGTTGAGTATCTGGAGCATCAGCAATTGTGAGTTCGATTACAGGATCAAAATGTCCAGAAACAAATAACTTTCTTCTGAAACTCGTCAGTCTATTCTTGTTCTGAGAAATGAAGGCTATTTCTTTGTTAACCGCTCAACAGATAATAGCGCACTCTGTCAAATCGTTTGGAGAAAATATTTATATTTTATTCAGCTTTGTTCAATTGTATTATTCATACTATAAAATAATATAAAATAATGCCATGGAATTACAAGCTAATATTGTCTGCTAAATGAACTAGTGTAGCCCACAGCCATTTGGCATAGCCACATCAGGACCTACAGTAGATGCAAACCTGATAACTGAAATGTGTATACTTCCAGAGATACAGTTATTTAGTAATACCATCCTTAATGACATCACAAAACAATAAACAATATGACATGATTATTCTTTAGATCCCCACCAACCATTCCAACCACTTAGATATCAGAAATAACGTTCCAATGTCCAATCTTTTGGAGAAAAAGGTTTTGGCAGCAATCTGTCCCTGTAACACAGAGATATTCAGATCGCCAATACTAAAGACCAACAAGGAGTCGTTTGTTGCAAACCATTTAGGAAAGGCGCGAGGGGTCATTAAACCCCCCACATCATAAAACTGACCACGGGAGAGAAAGAGAGAGAGAGATCTGTAGACTGTTGCTTCTCTGTATTCTGATCTTGGGCTTCTCATGTGGGACCATCACATGAGAGTCATGACAATGGATTTATTATACTTTTTTAAAATGGCTTGTAGGCTATGTGTGGAAGCCAGGAGATGCTAAATGTGTTAATGTTCATTAACGGTCAATTACTGTGAGACCAACAGTTATTTGCTTGACAATCAACAGCTAACGAAATTTCGTGACCGCCACAACCCTAATCAACACTGTGTATTTTTTACTACCTTGTTGCCCATAGAAACATTATCTTACCTCTGAAGTTGCTACATATTTTATTGAGTGTATGAACAATACTCCATTACCTATTCTGCCTTCCTCTTGTGATGATTTAGTTAATAACTTTAACAGCAAATTAAGGGCAACCATTGATGCCATAGCTCCAGTAAAGTTGAAAAAGGCCACATCCAAACTTGGATATTTTATTTCACCTTTATTTAACCAGGTAAGCCAGTTGAGAACAAGTTCTCATTTACAACTGCGACCTGGCCAAGATAAAGCAAAGCAGTGCGATAAAAACAACAACACAGAGTTACATATGGGGTAAAACTTTTTTTTTTTTTTTTTTAAATACAACAGAAAAATATATATACAGTGTGTGCAAATGTAGCAAGTTATGGAGGTAAGGCAATAAATAGGCCATAGTGCAAAATAATTACAATTTAGTATTAATACTGGAATGATAGATGTGCAAGAGATGATGTACAAATAGAGATACTGGGGTGCAAATTAGCAAAATAAATAACAATATGGGGATGAGGTAGTTGGCTGGGCTAATTTCAGATGGGCTGTGTACAGGTGCAGTGATCGGTAAGGTGTTCTGACAACTGATGTTTAAAGTTAGTGAGGGAGATAAGAGTCTCCAGCTTCAGAGATTTTTGCAGTTCGTTCCAGTCATTGGCAGCAGAGAACTGGAAGGAATGGCGGCCAAAGGAGGTGTTGGCTTTGGGGATGACCAGTGAGATATACCTGCTGGAGCGCATACTACGGGTGGGTGTTGCTATGGTGACCAAGGAGCTAAGATAAGGCGGGGATTTGCCCAGCAGTGATTTATAGATGACCTGGAGCCAGTGAGTTTGGCGACAAATATGTAGTGAGGGCCAGCCAACGAGAGCGTACAGGTTACAATGGTGGGTAGTATATGGGGCATTGGTGACAAAACGGATGGCACTGTGATATACTACATCCAATTTGCTGAGTAGAGTGTTGGAGGCTATTTTGTAAATGACATCGCCAAAGTCAAGGATCAGTAGGATAGTCCGTTTTACGAGGACATGTTTGGCAGCATGAGTGAAGGAGGCTTTGTTGCGAAATAGGAAGCCTTATAGATGAGAGATGCTTAAGGTGAGTCTGGAAGGAGAGTTTACAGTCTAACCAGACACCTAGGTATTTGTAGTTGTCCACATACTCTAGGTCAGACCCGTCGAGAGTAGTGATTCTAGTCGGGTGGGTGGGTGCCAGCAGTGTTCGATTGAAGAGCATGCATTTAGTTTTACTAGTGTTTAAGAGCAGTTGGAGGCTACGGAAGGAGTGTTGTATGGCATTGAAGCTCGTTTTGAGATTTGTTAACACAGTGTCCAATGAAGGGCCAGATGTATACAAAATGGTGTCGTCTGCGTAGCGGTGGATCTGAGAGAGTCACCAGCAGCAAGAGCGACATCATTGATATACACAGAGAAAAGAGTCGTCCCGAGAATTGAACCCTGTGGCACCCCCATAGAGACTGCCATAGGTCCAGACAACAGGCCCTCTGATTTGACACATTGAACTCTATCTGAGAAGTAGTTGGTGAACCAGGCGAGGCAGTCATTTGAGAAACCAAGGCTATTTAGTCTGCCAATAAGAATGCGGTGGTTGACAGAGTCGAAAGCCTTGGCCAGGTCGAGGAAGATGGCTGCACAGTACTGTCTTTTATCGATCGCGGTTATAATATTGTTTAGGACCTTGAGCGTGGCTGAGGTGCACCCATGACCAGCTCGGAAACCGGATTTCATAGTGGAGAAGGTACGGTGGGATTCGAAATGGTCGGTGATCTGTTTGTTAACTTGGCTTTCAAAAACGTTCGAAAGGCAGGGCAGGATGGATATAGGTCTGTAACAGTTTGGATCTAGAGCATGGGCAAGTTGCAGCGGAGGGTGCAGAGCTGGTGGCCGGGGTAGTGGTAGCCAGGTGGAAAGCATGGCCAGCCATAGCAAAATGCTTGTTGAAATTCTCGATTATTGTAGATTTATCGGTGGTGATAGTGTTTCCTAGCCTCAGTGCAGTGGGCAGCTGGGAGGAGGTGCTCTTATTTTCCATGGACTTTACAGTGTCCCAAAACTTTTTGGAGTTAGTGCTACAGGATGCAAATTTCTGTTTGAAAAAGCTAGCCTTTGCTTTCCTAACTCACGGGGGCTATTCGATGCTAATGCAGTACGCCACAGGATGTTTTTGTGCTGGTCAAGGGCAGTCAAGTCTGAGGAGAACCAGCGGCTATATCTGTTCTTAGTTCTGAATTATTTGAATGGGGCATGTTTATTTAATATTGAGAGGAAAGCACATTTAAAGAACAACCAGGCACCCTCTACTGATGGAATGAGATCGATATCCATCCAGAACACCTGGGCCAGGTCAATTAGGAAGGCCTGCTCGCTAAAGTGTTTTAGGGAGCATTTGACAGCGATGAGGGTTGGTCGTTTGACCGCGGACCCCTTACACAGGGCGGCAGGTAGCTTAGTGGTTAAGAGCGTTGTACTAGTAACCGAAAGGTTGCTGGTTCTAATCCCCAAGCTGACTAGGTGAAAAATCTGTCGATGTGCCCTTGAGCAAGGCACTTAACCCTAATTGCTCCTGTAAGTCGCTCTGGATAAGAGCGTCTGCTAAATGACTAAAATGTAAAATGTAAAATGTACACAAGCAGGCAATAAGGCAGTGATTGCTGAGATCCTGGTTGAAGACAGCAGAGGTGTATTTAGAGGGTAAGTTAGTCAGGATGATATCTATGAGGATGCCCATGTTTACGGATTTAGGGTTGTACCTGGTAGGTTCCTTGATAATATGTGTGAGATTGAGGGCATCTAGTTTGGATTGTAGGATGGCCGGGGTGTTAAGCATATCCCAGTTTAGGTCACCAAGCAGATATAGCATCACTGGAGGCACCGATTGAGCTGGTCTCGCGTGTATGGGGGGTGGAACAAAGGAGCTATTTGAGGCAGTTTGAGAGGGACTTGGGGCTCTACAGTGACATTTTATAATACGAACTAACTGGAACAGCAATAGGCAAGGCATATTGACATGGGAGAGAGGCATAAAGCAATCATAGGTGTTATTCGAGAGTGAGGAAACTAATAAATTAAAGAGAAATTGCAGAAATGCAGAGCGGAAGTGGAGAAAGTCAAAGTTGCAGGTCCATTATGATATTCTGAGAGAGCAACTTGGCATATATAACAAGGCAATTAGAAATGCCAGACGGGCTCATTTAACTTGATCACTAATAAATCAGAATAATTCTAGAGTGCTCTTCTCAACCATTGATGGGCTGATAATTCCTACCTCCGCAAACCTATGTGAACTGTCCTCCACATCAAAATGTGATGAGTTTGCGGCATATTTCAGAGATAAGATGACAAACATTAGGCTGGGTATCAGTCAAGCAAGACCTGATGAGAAGTTTGATGATCTGTGCCCTAGCCTACCACGCAAAGTCATTATGGATTTATTTTCCCTGGTTGACACAGACATGCTCAGGAAAGTGATATCACAACTTAAGACTTCTACCTGCCTTCTTGATCCTCTCCCCACCACCTTCTTCAACAGTTTTTAATTGCATATCTGAAGAAGTGCAAGCTATTGTTAATTACTCCCTGT